ACCTAATTCCAGAACATTTTCATCACCCCAAAAAGAAACCTCATACCTATCTGTAGTCACTTTCCATTCCCATCTAACCACAGCCCCTGGTAACCACTGATGTACTTTCTGTTTCTATGGATTTGCCTAGGCTGGACACTTTGTATAATATGTGCCTTTTTGTGTCTGGCTTCTTTCCCTTGGCATAGTGTTTTCAAGATTCATCCATCATGTATCAGCACTTCCTTTTATGGTTGGGTAATATTCCATTAAGTTGAATAAACCACATTTTATTCCTCAGCTGATGGACATTTGGGTTTTTTCTATATATATATATTTTTTGGCTATTAATAATGCTGTTGTGAGCATTTGTGTGTAAGTTTTTATGTGAACATGTTTTTATTTCTCTTATAATACCTGGAAGTGGAATTGCTGGGTCATATGGTCCTTAATCTATTTCACATTTATTTCACTGCTATTGCCATCTCTCGAGCTGTCCTCTCTTGACATCCACCTCATGCACTCCCATACTGTTTTCTTTAGATTTTTGGAACATTTTCACTTTCTTCAGTGAATCATGTCTTTCTCAGCCTCTTCCACTATAGTCCTACTTGGGTAGTTCATGTTAATGAACTTTTCATACTGTAACCTCAAGTTTCTTTGAACTCAATGACATTTTCCACTCAACTTCAGCTACCCAAGAACCAGCCAAATACTCCACCCTTTAGAACTGATCATCCTGTGCCAATTCCAACAACTGGAATACACAAACTGCTTTCTCTGATAACTTTTTCCTCCTATATTGCGCCTTTAAACTTATTCTTAAACTTATTCTTCATGCCTATGATGACTTCCAGACCCTCGGTGCCTCTGTTTTCAGTTTGTTTATTTATTTATTTGTTTATTTATTTTTGAGACAGAGTCTTGCCCTGTCGCCCAGGCTGGGGTGCAGTGGCACGATCTCGGCTCACTGCAAGCTCCGCCTCCCGGGTTCACACCATTCTCCTGTCTCAGCCTCCCAAGTAGCTGGGACTACAGGCGTCTGCCACCACGCCTAGCTAATTTTTTTGTATTTTTAGTAGAGATGGGGTTTCACCATGTTAGCCAGAATGGTCTCAAACTCCTGACCTTGTGGTCCACCCGCCTTGGCCTCCCAAAGTGCTGGGATTACAGGTGTGAGCCACCGTGCCTGGCTTGTTTTCAGTTTATTAGCTAACTGCTGTCAAAATTTATCTTCCTATCTAGCAGGAGCCCATGGCAAGCAATTTTAGTGGTATTTTCTCCAGCATCTTTGATTCACTTTTTTTTCTCAGTGATCCTTGTTCTGAAATTCCTTAACTCCTTTGTTTAATCTTGTTGCATTATCAGTTCTCTAAAAGAGGTGGCTTATATACCATCTGTTTTCTCCATTCTTTCCTTTGGGGTTGCCCAATTCTGGGCACCAGTGTCAGTTGGTTCACTGTAAATTCATGGTGTTCAGGCTCAAGTGAGCACATTTTTACTATTTTGTGTTCCTTTTATATCAAAATGACTTCGTAACTATTCTAGCGTATTTCTGCTCTCAAATCCTTAATCCTCTATCTCACCATTACCTTTTTATCCAAAAATAAAGTTCTTTTACTGAGATGACCTGGGCCCGCAGTGTATGCCCTACACGTTTCTCAGTTTTTTCCATTTTCTCTAAACCTCTTCAAGCCTAACCCCTTCTCATACAGTATTACCTACTCTTCAGTACCTCTCCTTGGTTTTTCATTAATTATTCCTTTTCTTGCCTCTTTAAGGTCTCTCTCTACTCTTTTTCCCTATAAATATTTCCCGCTTCAAAATGAAAAAATAGGTTGGGTGTGATGGGTCACGCCTGTAATCCCAGCACTTTGGGAGGCTGAGGCGGGTGGATCAACTGAGGTCAGGATTTCAAGACCCGTCGGGTCAACATGACGAAACCCCATCTCTACTAAAAATAGAAAAAAGTTAGCTGAGCATAGTGGTGGGCGCCTGTAATCCCAGTTACCTGGGAGGCTGAGACAGAAGGATGGCTTAAACCTGGGAAGCGGAGGTTGCAGTGAGCCGAGATTGTGCTGCTGCACTCCAGCCTGGGCAACAGAGCAAGACTCTGCCTCAGAAAAAGAAAGAAAGAAAGAAAAAATAGTAATACAATCCTGTTTCTACATAATACCTTCTCTATAACAATCCTGTAGCTGGCCAGAATGTGTAAGTCTTTAATACCCTCTGTCCTCTACAACTGGCTTTCAAACTCAGTTCTTATTGAAATTGTTTTCTTTTTATTTATTTTTATTTTTTTGAGACAGAGTCTCACTGTGTCACCTAGGCTGGTGTGCAGTGGTGCACTTGGTTCACTGCAACCTCAGCCTCTCGGGGAATCAAGCAATTCTACCTCAGCCTCCGAAGTAGCTGAGATTACAGGCGTCCACAACCATGCCCAGCTAATTTTTGTAGTTTTAGTAGAGACGGGGTTTCACCATGTTGGCCTGGCTGGTCTTGAACTCCTGACCTCAGGTGATCCGCCCACCTCGGCCTCCCAAAGTGCTGGGATTACAGGCATGAGCCACGGCATCTGGCTGAAATTGTTTTCTAAAGCATCACTTGTTCGCCAAATCCAGTATTTTCAGTCTTTATCCTTTGGTTCCCTGTGAGGTATGAATGGACCGTTTAAGCTTCTAGGCCTCTTGCATGAAGGGGCCTTAAAAGGTTATATGGTTGCATATGATTATAAAATTGCAAAAGTAAAATAGTTTTGCGCTCTTGTTTTTGAGGCTCAGGCCCAACAAAATTGAATCTACCCCCATACAAAAGAAGTTCATCAGAGTCTCTTATAGCCTATAGAGGTACCAAAATGGGACAAGGTTTCTCACAACTTGGTCACAGATAACGATAGAGCTAATTGCTACATTAAGACTCACATCTTGAATTGACCAAATAATTCTATTCAAAGACATAACTTCACCTCAGGTCTGGTTCTCAATTATTAAGGTTCAGGAACTAGATTTGAAGCAGTTTGATCAAGGTAATTAACCACTGGGAGATTAATGCAAACTAACCAAACTCACAAAAGACTATAAAAAGAATGTCTATTTCTTAATGTACAAGAAAGAATCAATACCTTAACAATAATTATTAATACCTTAATATTGACTAGGGTATATGGTAGACATTTGTCTGCTATCCAGAACACTCTATTCCCTAAATCAAAGTAGTTTAGAGACCAAAATGATCACGAAACGTTTAGTTATCATGATTGAAAGTAAAATATTACTGGCCTTATGGCCTCCTCGCTGCCTCAGATCCCCTGAAAATGGGGAAAGCTCTGTTCCTGTGTGATTTAAGCCTGTGCATGATTCTGACCTACCAGTCTTGCTCAGTCATGGATTGAGCTGCATTTTTGCATTTAAGGCAAGTTTTATCGCAAGCCCTAACTCCACCCCATTTGGCTGCCATACGCGGGTGTTGTGCGTGTCCTCCAGATCCCCAGCCATCCCAGCACTTTCCCATTCCACTCATTCCCTCTCTTCCCCTTCCTCCATCTCAAAGTGTTTTCCCTCACTTTCAATGGCCAGACTGGCCTCCCCAAGGTCCCTCCTAACATCAGGTCTGTCATCACCTACCTTCTTCCACTTGCCTCGCCTACTAATCATCACCTCCTAGACTATCACCGTCATCTCCTACCTGGCTCACACTGGCCCCACCGCCCAGAACCGAAAGGAAGCTTGGAATCGCGGTCAGGCCGCGCCTTCGCGACTCAGGGGGCCTGGGCCCTCCCCTGCCCAGCGGCGTGGCTGTGAGGGAAACCGTATCGCATTTTGCATAGTCTTCGCAGTCCTACATAACCGCCACCTTTACCCTTCGCGTGGGCATCACAATCGCCTCCTTCCCCTGGCGAAGGCAGAAAGGCGCCTCCTGACGAGAACCAAGGCGTGTGGGGACGCAGGGCCTCTGTGTGTCAGGGAGAAGAACCTGGGCCGAGCCCTAGGTGAAGGGGCGGGGTGGTTGGCCCTGAACCAATCATGGCTCGTGACGACACGGCTCGGCCAATCAGAACAAGGGAGGCCTGGGGCACTCGGGGCGGTGAGGAACCGCCCCCTTCCAGCTCCGCGGCCAACGCCTTCGCCCAGGGGTAGTTGGAGCGGTGCAGGTTCCCAGACTCCAGGTACTGGGTGCCTTACGA